CGCCCCGGGGCAGGGAAGGGAAGGGAGCGGGTGCGGGGCAGCTCTGCGGGCCGGCCTGGGTCCCGCCCCTCCGAAGCGCAGACGCGGGGCCGCAGAGGGGCCTGCGGGGCCGGGGCAGAACGGGCGGGCAGAGGGCGCTGAGGTCACCGAGGTGACAAAAAAGAGTTACTATTCCCCACAAGCTCTTAGAACTTGCTTTCAAATGCTCCTTATGTCAAAATCTAATTTCATGTTTGCTCAGAAGGAAACACAGACCGCGGTTCTTCCCCAATACAAAAGCTGGCACTTCAGGCAATAGCCCAGATTTTCTGCTTTCCCAAGGAAGGACTGACCTGGAACCACGTCCCTTAGCCCAGAGGCCAAGCAGCCCTTGGCAGACGCTGAGAGGCTCTTCAGAGCTCGACCTGAACTTCATAGGAAAGAGGGTTTTCGTTCTTATCCTCCCCCACAAGACAAACCAACAGAAAAACCCAACAAACCAACTGGTTTTCTAACCTCCCCCACCCTGTGAATACACCTTAGTGCGCTTTCCCCACCTGATCAAGGTAAAATTTAAACCCTACGAGGGTCATTAGATGTTGGGAAACGCTACAGCATGGTCTTCCAAACCATTTCCTGCAGCACCAGTGATTTTGGTAAGCATTCTTGGTACCCCCTCCCCGAAACAGAAGAGCACCACCTTCAAAGTGACGCCCAGAAAACCCAAACCACAAAGAATAAATGGTGCATACTATGTTTTTGTTTCTTAGTTTTAAAACAGTTGAGCATTCAATGAACATAATGACAAGGGGCACTTAAAATAGTGGCTAGGCTATGTTTAAAAGGTTTTATTGCAATTATACAGAAGTTACAGGAATTCTAGTAATACATAAAGCTTCAAGTGGTCAAGGGTTAGTTTTCCACCAAGCAATTAAGGCAATCTCTCTTTAATATAAACAGCAAATTATTATTTTACTAGCCATGGATAAAACAAAGTAGAAAAACTAAGGTCACAGATTTAAACTGGTAGAAGAGAACGCATCTCTTTTTTTTGGTCAATATTTGGCAGAAACTGTCGTTAATTACAATGTATACTAATAAAAAGCATATACTAGAAAAATACAGAAAAACACAAGTGTCTTATCTGATCCAAAGATTTTAACTCTGAGCCACAAGGGAAGTTAAGTTCTGCAGTAGGAAAATAAAGAGCTAAGCTATTCAGCACAGCTGAAACATTACCCGTTTTGCCTATTTTCTTTATACAAGAGTGAATTAGCCTCACTTCCTTCTTGGTCTGGTTGAGAAGCAACTGCATATGGGGGCAGCAGTCCTTGCCTCCACATGCAGTTGAAAGATTGTTTTCAGTGGCATACGGCCAGTTCTAGGTTGCCCAGAGATTAAATTTCACATTTATTTTTACAAAAATGAAGAAACTTTCATACCTTTAAGTGAATTTACTGAGCAAATGTAAAGTTGGCTCCGAGGTATCATTAAATGGATGATTCTACTTAAAAATAACAAGTTGTTGCAACTCTGAAGTCAGTTTTTCCCATTAAAATGGACTTTCTTAAACCATAAAATTAACAGTAAAATATAACCAAGTCCTTTAGTAATAATCTGCATACACAAAATAAGTACATATACAAATACTATAATGCTTTCCTTGGAAATTCTTCCTCCTCAGTCCTAGTATCACTGTAATAAAAACCACCTCCATTAAAGCCTGCACTTAAGGGAAATCCATTCCCCAAAATGTTTTCCCCTAAATTGAGTAAGCAAAGCATTTGGTGACTCTACATTTAGAAGGTAAAATCTCCATGTAAAAAGCAACCAACAAACCAACCACTAAAGACTCACTAAAATGAGTGTTTTAAAAAAGTTCAAATTAACTATTTTTTCTTTAAACAACTTACAGAGATAAGGCCCAAGCAGAAACATTAATTAACACAGTAAACTCTCAAAAGTAATGTGGTATTTCTCTTTAAAATTTCATTCTAGCCTTGGAATCCTATCAACACCTATGACTGTTGACCAGTTATTCTATTCAGTCGAGCTAGCACCCACTCTCTTCAAGTATGGGCTGTGGTTTTATGTGTTTTATTTAAGCTTGCAGGCAACTTTTGGATTTTTATTTCCACAGACACTTCATTCACCAAAAAACCCACTCTCCTTGTCAAAATAATATGGAAAATATTTGAAAGTTCTGAACTAGGCTAGTGCACTGAAACACGTTCCTGTCAGAGAGCAGATTCTAATGCTAAAAATCAAGTGCCTGTCATGTGCTTGCATAGGTTTCGTATTTGCAGAGCAGTTGAACATGCAGCTATTTAATTCCATCTTTCTGTAAATATTGCACTTCTTTTGTAAACTAAAAAAGACACAGCTTTGTCTGAAGCATCTAGTAAATAAAACCAGGAAAGCTGTATTTCAGTGTAGCTTAGAGCCGTTTTGGGTGACTTTATCTTTGCCTCCTGCAAGTGCCCTGTTGTTAAAGCAAGTGCTGAACAATGTAGCAAGAAAGTTCAAACTATTGTTACTCGACTATCCACCTTCACTCCACAAACTTAGGTAGCCTTGCTTTTATCGTAGACAATGGGTTTGCTTCTCCTTTAAATGAAGTTACTCTAAACCCAGAATATCCTTTGCAGACACAGAAGTTCTATAAAATACATCTTAGAGAAGCCTGCTTATTTCTTGAAGCACTCCAGGTACAAGAGATTCAAGAGAACTTATTCCAGTATATGAAATATAAAAGTTTAGTGACCAAAACCTCAAAGCGTGACCATATTAGAGTAGGGGCAGCGTTCCAGACTGTACCAGAGCACAGCCACCCTGCTCAGCCACCAGTCAAACTGGATGTGGCACCTGCTCCATGTGTTTGTCGTGTCCAAGTCAGTTAAGAGCATCACACTTACTTCAGAGTAGGATTCCAAACTAGTAACAGCCAGACACTTTTACAAATTGACAAGTAGGGGGCCTTTAACAAGTTAACAAAATCTCAAGGACTTGTATCCCCTGTGAAGAGAAAATGTGGGTACCGCTGCCCCAAGATACCTCTTGATAAGAATTGGAAGTGTGTTGCCTTTCATTATACACAACATAAAATCATAACCAAAGAGGAAGTGGGGGAAAGGCACAGTTTCTTCTGCAACAGAAGTCACAAGATAGATTTTCATCTTAAAAGAAGGTTGCTTGTGAAGCTTTAAAACAATATTACTTGGCTGTTCCAGAATCTAAACAATCCTAGTTTAAGGCTCTTCCACATGTTTTTATAATGTCCTACCATGAATAGCCTGAATGTCATTTCACTTCTGTTCTTTAAATATGTTTACACAGTCATGTTCCTTCACAAGTTTGTTTTTCAGAAGTTGCAGCAAAAGATGGATCTACACTGCATAATCAGTGTTCTCCTAAGTTTTGTCCATATCACATCTTCTCTCTCTGTCTGCAGAGCTTCAACAATGATGATGAAGCCAGATAATTTATTTTTTAACTATCAGCCTATGCCTTAGAAGTTTCAGAAGATGATCTATCCTAAGCATCTATGGAGATTTAATGTTGGATGTCTAGCCTAGACCCATATACACTTCTAATGTTCTCCTGCATTAAAAATACTTACTATAAAAATTTGCAGTGTTTATATAAGACAGAAATAGAAAAGGGTCATATTTATATAAAAAGCATTTGGAACGGGCTTAAATTGTAGATACATTTTGCTTTATTGAAAAGGTGTCATAACAGCTTTCCTTAGTGTTCGTGGGTAAGAAGAGAATACCAGCTCTTCATAAGAGATGATTAGCACCATAAACGGACATAGGTTTTAGATTTTTAAAAATAGGAGTGGTCCTGAAAATAGTCCAACAAAG